TGTTTATTTGGACAGAATTTCCATGATACTCATGATACACAGTACCTTCAAGTAAAGAACACACGACAGTTCGACTTATTTAGAATCGGGCATTATTTTAAACATACCTCAGAACCTTCCCACTCTAATGTTTTCCACTGGCATAAATCGGAACTCTTACCGTAATTTCTCGAACATAATACACATTTTTTTACTGTAAATTTTTACTGTAAATAGTAGGGGTGCGTATTATAAATAGGTTTAAACAAAAATATTTTTGCTATTGATTTATAATAATAAATACGTGCTTGCTGTTAAGAAAGATATTATCCAATTTGTTAAGAAAGATATTAAGTTGCATAAGAAAGATATTATCCCAATTTTCATCGTCCTAGGTATGACGATAAACAACGTCCGCGTCCTGGGTAAGACGATAAACTACGTCCAACAGCAAGGCCGCTGATCAAGGAGTTTTGAGGAGCGTGGAACCACCTCTTAATTGCTGGCATTCCCAGGTCCACCCTGACCCGTGGTGGTAGCACCTATTAGGGTCCCATCTATGGGCAAATAGTTAACACCCAAACTTGTGTAAAAATAGGTTTTAATACCAGAAATACTTCGTAATAAAAATAAAATTATTACCAGCAGTAATTTTTGAACGAAAAATTATTATCAGCAATACTTAAAAAAAAAAAAATACCAGCAATACAAACAGTTATACATTCTTTGAAAAAATGTGACCAGCTTTCGATTTCTTCAAGGAAAAATATTCCCAGAAATAGATTTTTGAAGGAAAACATATTACCAGCAATAAAGATTTTGTCGGCATTAAATAACCCATTGAGGTTGATATGCCGTAAAACAAAAACCAAACCAAACCCAATTTTCATTTTAAATCCAACAATAATAATTTTAACATTTTTCGTCAGTAAATTTAGGTTTATTAGTAATCGCATTTTATATTTGGCGAAAAAAATAAAAAATCTATTAAAAGGCCAACTTCGAAGAAAAGACTAGAGGATACCAAGTTAACAATTTATTGAAATTTTAATTTTCATCATCATCATCATCATCACCGCTTTCTATTATAGAATCAATATCTAAATTATCATTAAATAAATTATCATTCACAATATTATCTTTGTCCTGTTCAAAATTATCTTCGGCCTCTTCATTCTCTTGCCAAAGGATGTCATCTTCAGAGCCATCCATGGCTGTCGTGAGACAACACTTCCTGAAACCTCTATTTGTAACATCCTCACTGACGGAATCCAAAGATTCCTGAAGCCATTTTACAATAAGTTCCAACTCATAGTAATTTTCAACATTATTTTAGCCGCTTAATTTCGATTTTATTCTTAACTAGCAGTAGAACCCGGCGTTAAGAGATAGATCAAGTATCGACCATCATAAAGACTGAAAAATAAAATTGACAAAGATTATTGTTTAAGGTTGACGGACACGCATGTCTTAATTAGTTTTTTTTTTTGTTTTGTTTTTTGTTTTTTTTGTTTTTTACGAATTGGTCAAAGTCAAACAAAAACATTGTTTTCAATCGTTATGAGTCTACGGATTGAATAGAATTTTATTATAAACAATTGTCTTGTAAATGGAATTTTTAAAGCATTCTGAATGTAAAGATAAAGAAAAAAGTGTGCAAGACAATTGAAATCGGTTGAAAAATGTAGGAAATACGATGCCATATATAAAGGAACACACACACACACACACAAACAACCTGGGTTTTAAGTATAACTCGATATGAGTTGTCCCCCTTTCATTCTCGCGATGCCTCTTAATCGTGTTTTCAAATTGATTTCGTGCAAAAACAATTATGTTTTTCCAATTTTTGGTGCTGTCAGAACCACAGCAAGGTAATTTTACGTAGTCCTGTGAAGTCTTGTTGAAATCGATTGAAAAATGTAGGAAATCCAATCCAATATATAAACGAACAGACACACACACACACACACAATATGGGTTTTATAATAAGTACTAGAAGCATGGCCCGGCGTTGCCCGTGCTTGATTCAAAAATCGTATGGCTCATACAACAATCGCTATCACTTGACTTAAAATATTTTTGCCCTTCCTTGCCGATCCAATATATAAACGTACAGACACACACACACACGCACACACACACACACACACGCACACACACACGCACACACACAAACACACACACACACACAACCTGGGTTTTATAATAAGTATGATGTTAAGGTCGATAAATTGTCTTCGTTATTTTTTTTTTTTTTTTTTTTTGACAAAATTAATAGATGTGTATTAAACATAGGGATAACATTTCTTAATTTTTGGATCATTTGTTGGGTTGCGTATTATGTCTGAGTGCATATTATTTTCAAGAAATTACGGTATATCAAATCAATTGCTACTTCTGCTCTTTCGCTGTGTCGTTCTAGAGCGGGGGTTCTTAACCTGGGATCCAGATATCCGTGGATGGTTTTCAGGAGGTCCGTGAGGATCAGATAAAAAACAACATTCATATTCACTATACAGCTCATTGAAAGAAATAAAAAGAAAATGCATCCTGTCACTGCTTGAAAGAAAACGCACCCAGCCACAACTTACAGTACCGACCGCTAGGCGTCTCTTGCTGTTATCATTTAAACGTGTGTCATCATTCTCTGCACGACCGTCATCTTTTACCACTCCATAAGTGCAAGTGATAATTTTCATTATCCACGTTTTATCACGGTTTGATTATCTTCTCATATGCTAGTGAGGATTAATTGACCACAGTTTTTTTTTTTAAGCGTGGCTGTCTGAAAAATGTTGTATGTGTACAGTGTGCATAAGGGATAAATGCACGTACAAATGTTGTGCAAGACCACCCAGACTGTGAGTATTTGCTTGACTGTTCCTCTGCCTATGAAGGGCTACTTCATATAGGGGTCCGTGACTCAAGAGGTCCTTGACAAGATTAAGAATAACTGTTCAAGACAATTATTCTCGCCAGAATTTACTACATTTATAAGCCTACAATTCCTTCGTGCATTGAATATTGCTACTGTGAAACCCAGCCGTGGTCGCGGTTGCGTTCAAATATGTGACACCCGAATCCACTTAGCCAGGACCTCTACCGACTCATTAATCATTGTCAAAACCCGACACCTGGCTCCTCCGCTAGTCAACTTTAAACTGGGTGGTCGCGTTTACCTGAGAATCAGATTCTTTATTTTTCTCATGCCTTAAAATTCTCTTATCACCAGATGCTCATTTTCGAAACGCTATGTCTGTCGTCAACAGTTTGAATAAGCAATAATAATGATTCCCTTTTCGATTTTCCTTCTCATGCCAAGATTCGTGCATATACCAGATGGCTTTCTTCTCTGGAACCAGGAATTAAAATTAAATATATCTGAAAGATATCTAATATCTATTCTCCAGGGTGGCTTCAAGCCGAAATTCTCCATGGCCGCATGCGCCGGTCGGCTTTGTTTTTCTATCTGAATTCGGCTTCTCTTGGCGCGACATCCCCTCTTATCATGACATTAATCAGTTTTGACAGAATCACAATTTCGCTTTTTCTTACGGATTTTCTGTCTTTTGCGAAAAGTATCTTTTTTTGTAAATAAAATAAATTCTTCTTTTTAATGTCGCTCAGTCTATCTTTCCATATAGCTCTTTTTCGCCTTAAGTATTTCCCGTTTTTAATTTCTATAGTTAATTAGTTAGCCAATTACCATAGCTAAATAGTGCCACACTCCCACATCTGGTCTGGCGCTTCTACTTAATATCTAGAAATTCTTGACAAAATCCAAAGAAGAATCTTCAACGTTATCGGTCTTGACCTGGCAACTTGGCTTCGGTCAGTTTCACACCACTGTAACGTAGCTTCCCTCTGCATTTTCTATAAATATTTTCATGCTAATTGTTCTGACGAGCTTTCCGCTTTGGTACCTGGACATCTAGAATTTAAGTGCAGTACTAGATTGTCAGTTAGGTCTCATCATTTCAATATTGAAATTTCTAAACATGACTAACGTAGGAAAAAGAAGAGAGAAAAACAAAAAACAAAAAAAGTGACGAGAGGGTTCGCCGGCAAACCAGCTGTTTTTCTTCGCCGTCGGTCGTCTCAAAGAAATGAATTGCGAGACTCCTTTTCTCGGCCGTTACACCGGGCAGTCGTGAAACGGACACCGAAATCACAATCTCGTTTTGGACGAGATCGGCGCGTATAAATCGCGTCGTCGATAGCGGCCATGTTTCCTTTCGGATTTATCATGCAAGCAAGACACTTTCGCACACGTTTCGAGCTCCGAGGTAAGTCATCTGGTCTGGCGCTTCTACTTAATATCTAGAATTCTTGACAAAATCCAAAGAAGAATCTGCAATGTTATCGGTCTTGACCTGGCAACTCGGCTTCGGTCAGTTTCACACCACTGTAACGTAGCTTCCCTCTGCTTTTTCTATAAATATTTTCATGCTAATTTTTCTGATGAGCTTTCCGCTTTGGTATCTGGAAATCTAGAATTTAAGTGCAGTACTAGATTGGCAGTTAGGTCTCATCATTTTAAAATTGATATTTCTAAACATAACTAAAGATCTAATAATATCTCCCCTCGCACTTCTCGCTTGTGGAACTTTCTCTCGGCTTCTAACTTTCGTGCAAACTATGATCTTCAAAAATTTAAATACAGCGTCAATCGCCATCTTGTGTCTCTATGAATCCCGTTTTTTTTTTAATTTATTATGTTTTTTTCTCCTAAATAACATTTTCTCAGTTTCTTTCACTCCAAGCTTCTTTTACTCCTTGCGTCTTAGTGGTTTTATCGCCTTGCTTGAGTGTGAAATTATGTAAAAATGCCATAGAAGTAGTTTAAAGGCAAATACGAACTACAAGTAGACTGGTAGTGATACTCAAAAATAGCTGAATTTCGAAAACGCATCAGAATAGCTAAAGATGCCTTTCAGAAGCTAAGCAAAATGTAGGTTCATCACCGCATCGGCATTGTATTTAATAATAGTTTAAATAAGCTTTTAATAGTCAATGATGCTGCGGAAACACCAGTTACCGTACGATCACCGAAGTTAAGCAACATCGAGCCTGGTCACTACTTACGTGGATGAGCGCTTGGGAATACAAGGTGCTGTAAGCTTAGATGTGTTGGTGGTGTAATGAATAACGGCTCGAAATTGTAAATCAGAGAGCCGAGTTCCAATTCCAGTTGGGTTCGTTATATTCACTAACGCGCAAATACCCTTGAGAAACGTATGAATCCACCTCTTCTCTTTCCTCCAGCTATGCTTTAATTAGTAAGACTTGTATCACTAAAACCATTATTAACCAATGAGTACAACCAAAAAATATTTACTGGCTTTAAATAACCCGCAAAGGGTTGATCAGCCGTAGAGCAGGAATCTCTCAATGAATGAAATACTGATTAGCTACACAGGCATGTCTTTCAAATTTATTTACATTCTATAGAATACATAAATGTATAGAAAGGACAGTGGCCGCAAAGTGAGAGCCGAGTTCCAATTCCAGTTGGGTTCGTTATGTTCACTTACGCACAAATACCCTTGGGAAAGGTATGAATCCACCTCTCCCCCAACTATGGGTTAATTAGTAAGACTTGTATCACTGAGACCATTATTACCCCCCCCCACCAAAAAAATGTGTACAATATATTTAGATTTGGGTATTAAACAATCCATAGAGGTTGATATGCTGCTAAACAAAAACAGCCAACCAACAACACTGCATTCTCTTTCTCAAGAAGGCAGGCAATTCACATAAAAAGGAAGATTTGGACAGCCATGATAACCTTTGTCTTGAAAGGACATGGCATTACGAGCAGATAAAAAAAACATTTGATCAACACCTACATAACAGTTCAAATTCAACCCCCCAGAATTAACATGGGATGAACTTGACAGAAAAATGAAAAAAATGAAAAAGAGTACTTAGAGTCATTAAAAAAAGAATGGAATCAATTATCAAACTTATACTTTGAGAAACTTTTATAACGAATGCCAAAAATTTGTGCTGCAGTCATCAAGGCCAGAGGAGGATATTTTGACGAGAGCAAAATTTAATCATAAAATACTTTTTTTTTTCTTTTTGCTATAAAATTTCTAATAAAAAATTATGTCTCACTTTTTTAACCATGTATAATAATTTACCATTCTTTAAAAACTACTTTTGGGGCAAATTTCAAAAAATTAAAAAGAATCTGAACTCCTGTAAAAAAAAGATTCTTTTTAAAATCGAATTTTGGTCGGATTAAAAGGAAGTCGGATTACAGGATTTGAAAAAAGAGATTTTAAATTAATTTTTAATTATTTTGAATTGTTTTTTTGGGGGGTGGGGTGCGTGTGTTACTCTATGTATGTTTCCTGTATGTGTTTGTATGTTAGTTGTGTGTTCCTACACACGCAGAGACACACACCTACACCCAGAAGAAACACAAACAAAACACCTGGACAGAGAAGAAAAACGTACACACGAGTATTTCGTGTGTGTGTGTGTGTGTGCGCGCGTCTCTATGCGTGTATATGCGCGCGCGACCATGTCATCTATGCTTGCGTATTGGTGTGTCTCTTTTTTGTGCGTCGCTGCATGTTCATTGAACACAAAACATTCTTTTTTTTAAAACTTATTGTTTTTTGTTTTGTTTTGTTTTGTCTTTTGTAATAATACATATGCTAGAGTCGTAGGGACTTGGAAAATTTGATACTCACAGGTCAGGAGGACAAGAGGAAAGCAACGTATGGTGATCTTGAGTAAATGGATGGTGGAATAGGGCTTACGAGAAAAATAACAAAAAGAAAAGATGAAGTTTAAGACCTACAAGGAACAGGAAGTTAACTGTTATGGAGAGCTAAGACCGCTTAAGTCCTGAGCGGGTAAAGAAGTCGTAAATAAAACAGAAAATATTCTTCTTTTTTTTTATTTTAAAATTCCCAGCGTCTATTGTTTGTGCGTATGTTCAGTCACATCAACGTAATAAAGAAACGTAGACTGATGAAGTCCTAAGGGACGAAACGTGTCACACAAAAACTTTTTTTTCCACATTGTGTAACATCTTTCCTCCAAAGTTGTTCTTGATACAAGTTTCGTTAAAAATGATAGACAAGGTTAAGTTTTTATTTCATTTTTCTTGAATTTTTATAAATTTATTTTCTTTTCTGGAAATAAATTATGTAGAAATTGTCCGAATTTTCTGTATATCTGAGCGCTTTCGGGCTATTAAGTCATTATCAATGATGATTTTATTTTATTTTTACTTTTTTAACCGAAGTACCTTGTCAGTCGTTTTTAACGAAATTTGTAGAGAGAGGGATTGCTGCCCAAATACACATAGGAATTAATGGATTTATTCTTAATACGACATTTTTATTACTTCAAAGTTCAACTTCAAACGTTATTTTTAGTGGACACCTGTGTTCAAATAGACGCCTGCGTTTTTTTGGGTCCTTTTTTTTTTTTTTTTTTTTTTTTTCCAAATAGTGCGTGTTTATGTCCACCAATCTGTGCACTCGAGAAAACTTAATAAAGAAAATGTGCTCTCCAGCATTTTCTTTAAGCTTTCTCGATTCTGCATACGGGTTGATGTAATATACACTAAGAAAAAACAGGGCGTCTATTCAAACACGGATATCCACTAAAATAGCGCGCGCGTGTGTGCGTGTGCGTGTGCGTGTGTGTGTGTGTGTGTGTGAAGATTAACAAAAATTTAAACTCTCAAAAAGTACATCACTGTAAAAACCGGTTAATGGATGAAATTAGAAATAAAATCCATAAAACGAGTTTGTCGCACAAATAAAAATGGATGTGTTGTAAAAATCAGTGGGAATATTCAATTTTTTAAAAAGACACTTTTTCCAATGAATGGTTTATGACCACTTGAAAATCAATCTCTCCTCGTAAAATTATTTCGACCCAGAGGCGCGGCGGGGATGTCTGTGGGGGAAGAGAGGTTGGGCGGGAAGCAATAAATTTTACATCAGAATTACGCCAAAATTATGCTTTTACAGCTGCACAAATACGAGGGGTTATGTCAGTATCGCCCTTACAGTTTATTCTAGGGGTCATGTTACACAAAGACAAGCGGACGAAAAAAAATAACAAAAAAAAAATAGAGAAAGAGAGAGAGAAAGAAAGAAAGATACCCTGTTGTTAGGCACCCAGCAGCGAGGATCATTTCTGAGGAAGGAGGGCACGTGGACACGCCTTTTATATCCCAGCCTGTCACATGACCAGACCTAGCCCCGCCCCGCCCCCAGTCACATGACATGTAGTAAGCATGTCGGATCATCATCTGTAGAGACGGTAAGTGAAAAACCACTGTGATCTTAAAAATGTTGCTTATTTTGCTTTGCTTACCGGTAAAGATTCGATTGTGTTTGCCTTTCATCATTTCTATTGAAAACCGGCTTTGCCTTTCCAACAACTGGATTCTATAAATACAATGCATTAAAAAAAACCCGAGCCGTTCTAATCGGATTTAATGAAAGCGGTTAATTAAACCAGAAACCTGCTTCTCAATTCATCAATGTGTGTTGTCTAGTCTCTCTAGAAAACCTTTTAATATTTATCCTGTTTTGTCGCTGATTATTAAACAGCATCTTTGTTGGGGGGTTTTTAAGACTTTCTCTTTTACTGAATAATAAATAGTCAATAACTGCTCTTTTTTATTATTTATTTTCCTACTTAACTTAACGTTTAAAAAGTGCTCTACACCCGCGGGTTTCTATGGCCCTCGCTTCCCGCATCTGCTAATTAAAAAAGGGAAAAGAAAAAAAATTAATAACGAACAGGTCATTTAAATCTTAAAATTAAAAAAATATTGACAAATTTATAATAATCTCCCGCAGTTTTGCTATATAACTTTTTAAAGAAACTTTATTTGTATTTTATTTTTTAAATTATTCTAAAAAAATTGCAGATCTTGTAACAACAGAAGGGTTTTTTTGTGTGTGTTTGTGTATGTGTGCTAAAAAATACATTTCTGGGTTAGTATTTTTTTTTTAGTATCATTTCTTTATCGGATTTTACAAGTAAGCAGGTTTCGAAAGTAAAATTCACCAGCATAACTTTTTAAAGCTTACAAATCTTCTTTTTTTTTTTTTCTTTTTACACCAACCACATTCGATCCTCTGAATTAAAAAATAAAAATTGGTTGGTAAATTAAATACAAGATTGGACATTTCAAAGAACGAACCTTATTTTTTTATCTCTTAAAATTCTTTACAGAATGGTCCTCTCCTCTATCAATGAATCGTTTTTTAGTAGTTACCGAAGAATTGTCTTTTCTTTTTCTATTTCGTTTTAAAATTTAAATTATTCCTTATTTTCCCACGTTTTCTTTAATTTTGGCTTAGATTTCATAAACAGTTTATCTTCGTAATAAAGTGCTTTTTTTCTTAATTTTGTGCAATAATTTCCCCATCTTGTGAAATGCAAAGGTTTGTTGTCACTTAAGGAATTTACGTTTCTTGTAGCCAAATTTTACTTTCCCTCGTTTTCTTCATCTTTTTTGGCTTCCTTATTTCAAATGGGAATTTTCTTCCAAAAAATCAATAACAGACAAACTAAATCCGAATTTTTTTTCTGTTTTTCCGTGGATTTAAAATTTAAAAACTACCCTTCCCTTTTTTTTTTTAAATTTTATTTTCATTACAAATCCTTTGTTTTGCTTACGTTATGTTAAGTGGCGACGACCCCCCCAACAAAAAGATGATGTTTAGTTTGTAGTTGTGCATCATGATGACAACAGTAGACTTTTAATAAAAATGACGATTATTATTATTAATAATAAATAATTAATGTAATATTTATGTTGGCTATCCTTGTTCCAGATTTGTTGTGGGGGATCATTTCAAAATGTACAAGATTCCTTTTTATACCCTTGCTTGGGTAATGTATTGAAGCCGAATAGGCATATCAATAACTACCATAGATCAAGCGAGCGGTTTTGCCGGCATCTGTGCCCCTATCAGATTCGGTCAGTCTTCTTTGTCTGAACGTGATAGTTAGCAACTCGTTCGTCTTGAAGTGCTCTTCTATCTTGACCTTGTGTCAGATCCGATTAAAACTTGATAAAAAAAATGTGTGCCTAAAAAAGCTGATGATCTCGCAAGTCATTGACAGT